AGCTTATTTCCAATAGAGTACTAAATAGATAAACATATTTACGGCGGATCCCATATGGACAAGCTTCTTTAGGAACCTTATTTACAACGTAGTACTAAATGAACATCCATAATATAATATATTTATAACAATATGTCTATTTTCCTATTTATACCTTCTTTTATTCCACTATTCATGAAAAGAAAAAATTATCATTTTTATTATATCCTCGTTTAAAACCGGGAAAACCCAATTCACTAATATTCGCCCGGCTCGGTTTAAATTAGCATGGCACTCCGGTTCAGATAACTCGATATCAATGGCCCCAACCTGTAAAGTAAAAGGTTCAAACACCACCCCTGATCTAAATTCTCTACCAAAAAAAGGGGGAAAACGAGTTTCACAATTGGAGTAGCTTGGAAATTGAAATCCCAGTGAAGAAAAATAGAAAATGGTGAGCTTCAATCTTTTCAGAAATGACATTGTTATTTAAAACTTAGAATTACCTCCGATCTCTGCTTCTTAATTCATAAAAATTACTTCTTTTTCACAGTAATAGTCAGTTAGCTATACTGAAGTTCTTTACCTGACTGGGAAGTAATAAAGATTCAGTTTTCTAGTTTTCTTATAAGGATTTAAGTTATATACACGGACAATGTAGTCAAATTTTACCCATCAATGTAATTTAACCAGTTATAGTAGGTTACTTACCATTTATACTAGGTTATCGATCAAATGCTTATTAATTAGAGTTACCTGCAGTCTTTTAAGTGACCTAATTGTGTAAAAAAGATTCAATTTGATAAGGATTTAAGTCATATATACGCCAAACAGTGTAGTAATTTTTACACCATCACTGTAATTTAACCTGCTATAGTAGGTTGGTTGGTTATCATTTATTATTGGTTACCAATCAATGATTTTTTTTATTAGAGTTACCTGCAATTACCTTTTATGTGACATGATTGTGTAAATCTTTTTTACACAGTTAGTGCATAGAACTTAAAGCCGACAGATGAATATATGTTTTTGTACCAAATTAATATCCATCATAATAGCGTGTGCTATGAGACTCTGCACCCACTTGCTTAAATTTGTGTTATTGTTCATGGTCAATGTGCATATTTGTATTCAAGACCAAAAAAGAAACTTTTATTGTTAAATGAGTGTCATTGATTTTAGGCTATGTTGCGGGCTCTCCAAATATGTTGCCGCACTTGGGTCAGGTCCTCCAACAATGTACTATTTTTTGGGGGATCCGACGCACACCCATCAACATTTTTAAAGAGTCCTAGCTACATAGATTTTAGGCAACAAATGGAAATGTTGCCTCAATTGGGACCATTTTCAAGGGCATTCTGATAAAGCGATAGGGAATGATCCAATGATGAAATTACATCACTGTAGTTTATGCGGAGTGAGTGCAGAAGTGCACCCAGAACTCCTATGGAACAATGGGAGCAGAAATTAATGAATTTAACCCTACATATTATTCGAGCTGCATTTGTTGCTGAAAAGGTAGATTTGCCTATGTTTGTATGTCAGATTGTCAATAGCACGATCACAGAGTGCCAATCGTGTAAGATCCATCATAACATATTTACACATTCTTTCCACCTTGCTTGGTGTTTTTCTTACGTTTGATTAGTGTTTTAACGCTAGTCAGCTGCTACTCTGGGATTCGGGTTATTCATTGAAGTCAGCTGCATGTTTAGTTGCACTTTTGCATACACAACTTGAGGTCTAAGATTGCATTGCTAGTCTGATACAGGAGCATTTGTGTTAATCAATACATATATATTTTTCTTTTCAAGAAAGATGATATACATTGCATTTTAGTTGGAATCCTCTGATCATCTGATGCTTGATACAGAAAAACTGCTCTTCATGATTACCAGTAATTCGGAATCAAGAATACTGGGCAGGAACTTACGCAGCCTATTCAGATTTTGCTTCCAATTTGCAACTGCATTGCGTTCCCATCATTTGTTAATGTTAACCGAATTAGGCTGAATTTGCCATTGTAAATATACTGATACATCTCATAAGCTAGCATATGAATTCTCCAGTGAGCAAATGGCCTGAAGATCAACAGTTCAGTAAATGTACTGAAAACTCTTTGATTTTTGCCAATTAAATCTAGAATTTTTTAGTTTGCATCTTCCAGTTATCAATCCCCGTGGAAGGAGAAGAAAAGAGAAAATTCTTGTTCGAATTGGTGATTAACAACATACAAGAGGGTTACTTAGGTAGGAGTTTTGAACTACATGAATAAGAAAGTAAACTAATTCTTTCCCCCAAGAGGGTGTCATAGCGGTCAAAGAGTTGGATTGACAACCTTAGAAATCAAGATTCGAATTCCGATGGAGGCGCCACCAGGTAAATTATTTCCATCTATTTAAACCTTGGTGAGCAGACTGATTTGTTCTCTATGCTGGTGAGAGGTTGCAAGCATCCGATGTTTTAGACGAGGTCCATGCAAGGTGGTTTGGACACTACCGTTATAAAAAATATTCACTAATTCTTGCGTTCCCTAATTATTACGACTTAATCATTAGGCATCCTACCAAATATTCTTAATGATTCCATTGACTTTCCTCTTAACTTTCAAAGCATCACCTCAAACTCAAGATGGTAGAACAATTGGATGTGCTAATCGATACTGATAAGTCAAGATATGGGGGAAAGTTACTTTGAAGGAGAAATTATTAGAATTTTTTTCAGTTTAGTTAGCTAAGGAGGTCAAAAGGAGTAATATTGGCTAATGTATGAGTTTGACAGGGCACTTTGCTCATTACAGAAGCATGTTTTTTGATACTGTGATATTTTGTCTAGAAAAATTGTCAAGGCCTTATATGACTGTTTTCTGAGTCATACTTAGTTTTGGAGCTTGATGATGCAAGCTGATTGTGTTAAAAACTTCCAAATATTCCTTGTGTATATATTAGCTTACTAAATGAGGTATAGTTTCTTTTCTTTTCTTTCTAATGACCGAGAAATTGACTGTTTCTATCTTCAAATCTCAGTAGATAATGGGCATGCCCTTCTACCCTTCTCCGTTTAAATGAGATAGAGTTCAACTGGCTAATTCCATTATAATTTTTCTGTTTCTCTGTTTTATGTTGCTTGTTTGCAAACGTAATCCTCACAAGTCTTCAAGGTAATGGCTTTAATTTATGTAGCTGTTCTTTGGTACTTTTGGGAAGCAACCATCCTCCATATAAAGGAGAGGTGGCATTATTATTATTTGTGGAAATTTGTCTCCAGACCTTTAGCCAATATTACCTAATATCTGGATCTTTCTGTTTACAGAATGAGAGAACAGGATTGCAATTTGCTACCAAACCTCAATATTACCTAATATCTGGTGTAAATCATATAATTAGTGTAATTTAGGAGACCTTGGCTAAAACAATAGCCTATCCAATTTGTAGAGGATTTTCATATTAAATAAACTCAAGTTCACCATTATGTAATTTAATTAACATCCTAGCATGATTATTCTAAGCCACTTATTTTATCAATTTTAGTAAATTTGACACTCTCCTCACCTCCGATCCCGAGATGCACAGATATGGCAGAAAACTCCAAAAGAGGATGAGGCCAATTTAGAATATCGGTGATTTAAACATCTTAAAGTAATTTTAAAAAAATCTGTTGGCTATCTATCCTTAAATTTCCTTGCTATCTGTTACCTTCTCTGCTTCGCGCCATTATCTCTTACAGATGCCTCATTTTCCTGTGTTGATTTTACCTACTTGGATTATTGAGCAGGAAAAGGAAGCAAAGAAAGAAGCTTTCAGAAAGTATCTGGAGGCCAGTGGAGTTCTTGACGCTCTAACCAAAGGTTCTGTCTTACTTCCTAAATTAGTGTCGATAGTCATCATTCTTTTTTGGTTAATTTTTCTCTGAAACAGTTCATCTCATTTTGTGTGTTTTCCTGTCATTCTAGTCCTTGTCGCACTGTACGAACAGAATGACAAACCTTCTTCTGCTCTTGAGTAAGTATTCTTTAGAAACCACCAAACTCATTCTATAGATGATTAACAACATCGCTTGTGACTATAATGGTGGGGTTGGTTGAAAAGCTTATCACATCATGGTTTCATCTCAAAATAACACATGCATGTGAAAAGGCTCAAAGCTTTTGCTTAAATTTGTTCGTGTCATCTCATGGTTGTGCTGATTATTCTTTTTTGATCCTTCTCTTTAGAGAACTTATATGAAATAATCATTTGGTTTCTGATCTCTCAGATTTGTCCAGCAAAAGTTAGGTGGTCCAACGGTGTCCGAATATGAAAAGCTACAAGCTGAGTTATCAGATTTGCAAATCAGATATGATGAACTTCTAAAAGAGCACCAAGAAAAATGCAGGGAGGTATGACCAACCTAGTTCACTGTAGTTTCTTAAGCTGTGCAGATGATTGTTTTTGTTGTGGCAGCTTTTTCTTTTCCGTTATTCTTCCCTCTCTCTTCTTTTTTTCCTTCTGGTAATCCTTGTGTGGCCAATTGAATATCTTTCATATCAATTAGTTACCCTCCCTGTGTCTATTTATTGTTTTGGTTATGAAGACAGTAATGCCATTATCAAGTTGAAGTCTGATAATGTGTGGTAATACCTCACAAAAATTCAGTGTTTTCTTCATTATGGAACAAACTTGGTGTTATCTTCTATTGCAGTTAGAGGAATCGAAACACACACAAGTAGAAGCATCAACTAAGGAGCCTAACGTCGAAAATGCTCATGAAGAAGAACTCTAAGAGTACAGTCGAATGTAGTAAAGAGTTTAAAAATGCACAATTCTTTTGAATACTGGAGCTGTTGTATCTCATTTGTTTATGAGAGTTTGTTCTGTAGTTTCTTTCAAATTCCATATTAACAAATTCATAACATATTCAAAAATCATAGTTCAAATATGCTCGTCAGTTGAGGTATTACATACATAGATCCTCATTAAAATTTGAGAAACTAAACTACAAATCATTCCACAAAATGGGTGAACATTTAGAACAAGTGTTTGTTTCAAAGATCCAAATTGAAGTTTTAGTGACCCATGGGCTAGCTCTTTGACTTTAGCTCGTGTTTTGTAACATATCAATTATTGGTAGATGGAGTCAAGCTAGAATTCTCACTTGTCAAGATTTCTATGATACCGTCTTCTAATTCTTGACCAATGTCAAAGCCAGAATTCTCCTTTGTCAAGACTTCCATGACAGCATCTTCTAATTCTTGAGCAATGTCAAAGTCAGTGTTCTCTTTTGTCAAGACTTCTATGACAGCATCTTCTAATTCTTGAGCAATGTCAAAGTCAGTGTTCTCATTTGTCAAGACTTCTACAATACCATCTTCTAATTCTTGAGCAGCATCATTGTTATCGCTGTCAAAATATGGCTGTCTCAAATACCAACAGCATAGAAACCAACAGAAAAGAAAGTTAAGGAAGGCAGGAATCATTAAGATAGCATAGTACTTGTCCAAGCGACTTGTGTTCACGTCTTCCTCAAACCAAGATCTAAAAATAAGGATGAAGATCACACTGACGAATTTGCCAATGCCAGTGAAGAATTCGCTGAACTCTGGTTCATGCCCTTTCATTGACTCACAAACTTGAGTTTCAAAGATATCTTGGAGCCCACTCGATGAAAGTCCATCCATGAGGCCAACCAAGACGAACTGAGGTATTAATCAAAAAACACTCATTTCATTAACGTTAAACTCTACATTATCCTCGTCCACCCTTATCTCCATATCATCATGTCTGTATTTTTCGACCCGCCAAGCAACTAGGCAACAAAGAAAAGAGCATAACATTCCAAATGTAGTTCTGCATAGTGGAGGACGTCGTGTACTTCCTACGGCGCTCTTGAGCAATTCACATATGTGTGATACAACGAAACTTGTGAAGGTTTTGATAATAACAAATATTACTAGTGGGACATGAGATTTCTTTCCAAGATGGTCATCCATGACATTAGCTTGTTCGTAAAAGAAAGTATTCGCTGTAGCTCCTACGAGACTGTATACAAAGAAAGTTGACCAAAGAGGAAACATACTCATCAAGCGCTTCACATCCTTAACTTTTGCTACCTCAACAAGTCTGCCTGCATTTTCAGCTTGCTCTATTGATACTAGAGGCGATGGTTCCAAAATGGCAGCTTTGTCTAACCATCTGCAATTTAGATAATATGTGGTTAGCTTAGGTACTGTTTATTGTGAGACTTAAATTAACTACTCTTTCTGTTTCATTTGTTTGACTGGTGACAAAGTTTAAAAAAGAAAAAAATGAATACTTTTAAAACTTGTAATCTATTATAAATAGTATTTTATTTTTGGTGAATGTCTACCTTTTAAAGAGATTTTAGATTGTGGCTTGGTCACTTTTTCCCCTATAAATAGAGGGTTCTATTCATCCTAAATCAATAAAAATTCTCTCTACATTTCTCTGCAATACTTATACTCTTTTTCTTCTTTTATTGATTTATAACATAATCTAAACATTCCACAACATTTGTGTGGCTATAAAATTTTAAAACACTATTGGTATATGCTTCTAATACTCCCTCCGGTCCAAAATAAGTGATTTTTTAGCTTTTTTTTTGTGGTCCAAAATAAGTGATTTTTCCAGATTTCAAGAATGAATTAATTATTTTTTTCCTACATTGCCCTTAGAGTAATTAATGTTGGAGTATGTGTTAGGAGTGTTTATGTGAAGAGATAGTAAATGTTAATATGGTCAATTTCATTGCTAATTAATGTTAAAAGGTGAATTCCTTAATATGTGTGAAAACAACCAGAAAATTACTTATTTTGGACCGGAGGGAGTACTATTTCTACTTGAATAGTATCTTATAAAGCAAATAAAAAAATTTAATTTTTTAACGGAGGGAATTCAGGGATTAAAGTAGCAGATAGGGAGAGTAGGCATATATGGGACCTGAGGAGTGCAATATTAGGAAGAATCTCTGTGTCACTTGTGTTATTCCTGAACAACTGACTTGGAGAAACTGGGTAATCAAGATGAATCTTTGATAGTGCCGCTTTAACAACCTTGAAACAATCAAGAATGGGGCTAGGAGAAGGTTTCTTGCGTTCATAAAATGGGATGCCTAAAAAGAATAGAGAAAATCCTGCTACCATTGCGATTGTACATATCTTTGCAAGCACCTCCCACTCTGTATTTGAGAGCCTACAGTTGCTATAATTATACCCAAAATCCAACAAACTCTCCAAATAATTTTTCGACGTGTCTCTATAAGTTTTTCATTCTCTTCGTTTGTTTCTTCGTTAGATCTCCATAGTTGATCAGCTAGAAATGCTTTCAAAATGACATCTCGCCCAGCTTTACCAAGAGTTAACAACGCCAGCGCCCCAAACAACATTAATACTTAGCCCGCGAGACCCATACCATAGCATCCCCAATCCCTGTCCAAAGAATAAAAAGATTTTGCTCAAAGAAAACTTTATGGAAACACAAGCATTCATTTAGATTTTATTTTTGTTTCTTGCAAGTAGTTGCAATCATACACAACATGAGCACATTTTAGTCTAAACATGACTTTCATGTCTGGTTCAAATTGAGGAATGCGAAATGAGAGACAAAAATTATTCTATTTCGAATAGTAAAAGGACAAAATTGACCCTTTATTATATGACATGGTGTTAGTGGGGAGAGGCAAAAGTGAGCTACAATTTTGGGTGAAAAAATGAAATAGATGACAACATTGTGCTATTTCAAATAGTTTATGGGCAAGATTGCCCTTTTCCGTTTAGCTTATCAGGCTACTAATGCTACATACAGTATTATCAGTTAAAGTATATACTAGGGGTGTACAAAGGAAACGGACAAACCGCACCAAACCGATAATCCGAGTTAAACCAAGAAAAAACCCCGACTATGGTTTAGTTTGATTTGGTATGATGTTACAAAAAAAACCCGACCATAATTGGTTTGGTTTGGTTTTAACTAAAAAAAGTCAAATCGAAACCAATTCAACCCGACATTACATGTATATAAGTTTTAAAAATATTTTATACATAAAAATAATTATTGTAATGTAATTTATAAATATTTTTTAAACTCTTTAATAGTTCTCTCTTTTAATGTATTATTTCAAGTTTGGACTTAGAATTTTTGAATGGTCAAATATATTTTATAACGCATAAAAGTTAGTAACTCAAATAAAGTCCAAAGCAAAATCAAATCAATATTAATGCTAGTAAAAAACATTCAATTCAATACTAGGAATGACAATAGTATTGGATATTTATTTTTTTAGTTTTGCTTTGGCTTAGATAGTGAAAATGCATAACTTACTTTTAATATTATTTAGTCATGTAATTAATACTTAGTACTTATTAGTCGTACTTATTTTAACATGACTTAATACTTTTAGATTATGTTTATGTTTATTACGGCTTATTAATTAGCAATATTTATCTTATGCGATTTGTTGAGTATTTTAGTATAATCATGACTCATCTTATATTATTTTATTGGGTAATATCTTATATAGTTTTACTCCTACTAGGACCTAAGAAATATTAGAGCAAAAATTATAAATTTTATGCTATGAAGATTTTGTCCGAAAAAAATTGAAAAATCCGAGAAAAACCGCGATTGAAAACCCTACTTTTGTTGGTTTGGTTTGGTTAATAGATTTAAAAATTTGAGACAATTGGTTTTGTTTGGTAATTGAAAAATCGGAACCAATCCGGCCTATGTACACCTCTAGTATATACTGGAGATTTTTCTCTCAGTTTTCTGTACTTTTGAATTAAACTATTCGTTTTTTGAAACAAATTCAGGGAAATCTCAGAAGATCTCACACTATTACACTACTAGAAATTGGCGAAAAACCGTCCAAATCATACCAACCGAAGTTGAACCGTCCAAAGCATACCGATTGAAGTCGGTCGGAAGAAAAAATGACTGAAATCGATCGGAAATTGGAATTATCGGTCGTAAAAGTCAAAGGAACAATTCAAAATGTTGTTACCGACCAACATTGGTCGGTAATTTTGGGTCCCAAAATATCCAAAAATTACCTTTGCTGACTTGTTTGAAGATACTGGCCGACGTCAGTCGGAAAACTAGTCAATCTTTGACCAATCCTTGGTCAGACTTACTTGCGTCGTTTAAAAAAAATTCCAAAATGCCGACCGATATCGATCGATATTTTTAATTTACTTTTTCCCGCCTACTGTCTGTTATTTTTTTCCATAACAAAATTAATTTTAAAAAAATAATGAAATTACTGACCATTGTCGGTTGGTATTAGTGGTCAAACATGGTCAGCCTTTTATATATTATTGTTATTTACAATCTACATATATTTAACATCCTAAATTATAATATTATATTATATATTCTAAGCTATAATATATATATATATATATATATATATATATATATATATATAAGACACACACACACACCTCTATCGTGGGATTTTGATCAAGTATATATTGTTGTTGCTACAACTTAAGTTTTAATATAGCACTACATCTTATAGCACTATATATTTTGTTTTTAAATGTGTTCTAGCGTGTTGGATGTCGATACTTAGACTCGATCGCTCATACATTAAAACTCAATATTTAATTTACTGAGGCCGCCATTATGCCTAAATGTCTTGCCAGCTAAAGCCAAGAATGATGCATGTTCTAGGTTAAATAAAGTGATAAAAAACATATCCTAGGTTAATCGAATATAATTGAATTTTTAATTGATCCATTGATCAAGTATCCGAGCAAACTACTAATCAGGTGATCGAGAATAAAACATTCGAGCGTGCCATACACTAGAGCATCTAAGTGTAAATAACTTAGATGACACTACATTATGTGAGTGCCTTACTGAAATGACCCGGCCGGTAAATGACTCCGGAATGAGATTTTGATGGTTCCAATAGATTCATTTGGTGATTTTTGACTTAGGCGTGCGTCCGGATTTGGATTTGGAGGTCCGTAGGGTAATTTGAAGCATTTCAGTGAAAATTAAAAAATTGAAGTTTTAGAAGGTTGGGAGGTTTGACCGAGAGTTGACTTTAAAGATATGGGGGTCGGAATGCGATTCTGAGAGTTGGATTAGCCCCGTTATGTCATTTGGGACTTGTATGCAAAATTTGACGTCATTCCGGGTTGATTTGTTATGTTTCGGCACGAGTTTTAGAAGTTGAAAGATTTGAAGGTTCACAAGTTCGATTCTTGGTGCGATTCGTAGTTTCAACATTGTTTGATATGATTTGAGACCTCTAGCAGGTCCGTGTTAGGTTATGAAACTTGTTGGCATGTTTCGACGAGATCCTGGGGCCCTCGGGTGTGTTTCAGATGGGCTACGAGCCATTTCTCTATGTCGTTGGACTGCTATTTTGTAGCTATCTGGTTTTTCTTAATCAAGTTCGCGTCAATTCCTCCACATTTGCGTAGTGTAATTTTGGAGGAAGGAATATTTGTTCTTCGCGTTCGTATGCGACTGCCCGCGATTGCGTAAGTGTGTATCCCCCTTCAATGTGTTCGCGTTTACCAATCCGCGTTTGTGTAAAATAGCTCAGCAGCTGGTCCCTTTTCGCGATCACATTCTCTGTTTTGCGATCGCGTAATACACTTCTTGGGGAATCCATGCTTTCCTTCTTCGCGATCGTATGTACCTATTCGCGATCGCGTAGTACAAATTTTGGCAATGGACCTTTCCTTCTTCGCGATCGCAGTTCTTCTTCTGTGATCGCGTTGTGTAAATACCTGGGCAGAATATACAAGTACTCTATTTCGAGGGTTAGCCATTTTTATCATTGTGGAGTTGTAGAGCTCGGTTTTGAGCGATTCTTCGTGGGTTTTTCAAGAAAATCATTGAGTAATTGTTTTTCACCCGAAATTTATTATATTCCATGATTCTATCTTTATTTTTTATCTCATAGTTAGTGATTTGAGTTGAGGAAAAATTGGGATTTTTGAAGAAACCTTTCAAAATGTAAAATGATGATTTGAGGGACGAATTGGTATCGGAATTTGATAATTTTGGTATAGTTGAACTCGTATCAGAATGAGTGTTCGGATTTCGTGAATTTTATCGGGTTCCGAGGTGCGGGCCCGAGGATTGACTTTTGGAACACTTTTTAGTTTTTGTTAAAGCTTGAAGCTATATTATCCGGAATTGTTTCTTATGAGTTTTATTTATGATTTGAAGTTATTTTGGCTAGATTTGAGCCGTTCGGAGGTTGTTTCACTTGAGAGGACCATTTTAGAGTATCAATCTAGCTTCTTTGAGGTAAGTATCTTGCTTAACTTTTTGTGGGGGAACTACCCCTTAGGATTTGAATCTTTAATGCTAATTGTGCCATGTGAAGTCAGTGTACGCGAGGTGACGAGTACATGCTCGGGCTTATTTGCAGAAAGTTAACCTTTTAGAGTTCTTGGATCCTTATGTTCATTTGATATGAAGTTGTTTTGTTATGCTAAATGCCCCATTTGCTAGTTTTACCTCTACATATCTTAATTAGAATTAATTGCTTCATGTTCCACTCTTATTACCTATTCGACCCCTGTGTGCCTTAACTGAAGTTATTGCCTCTTCAACTGCCATGATATCGTTCCCTAATTGTTCATCCTTAATTGAAATTATCATTATTTCTTTTGTAATTATCTATCCTTAATTGAGGTTTATGATTTTTCCGTTGCTTATCCTTAACTGAATTTGTTGTATCATTTTCGTAATTGCTCAACCCCAAATGAAGTCTAGTTATCCTTTATCATAGTTGACTTATCCTTATTTGGGATTATTGACTTATGTTACCTCCCTTGTTGTTGAATTGTACTTTTATGGAATCATTTGTTATGTATTATTTCTCCCTTGTTGAGCTATTCTTATTGAGACTAGTATTCTCTATTTTGTTTATTCTTTGTGAGCTCGTTCTACCGCTTCTTTATGTTCTAAAGCTCTTAGGTTGATTTACTTGTTGTATTTTCGTGTATTGTTGTGGTTGTTGATGTGGTACTCAATTTGTTGAGCCGATGGCTATGCGTGGTTGTGGTATTGAAAATGTTTAGTGGAAATGTTGTGGAATATAGGCACATGTTGTAAAGGCCATTCTATTGTGTTGTTGTGTTTTTGGCACGTGATATTGTTGGGAGATTTTGTTTGGGTGTTTGCACGAGGTTTCTGCCGTGCTATTGTTACTATTATATACATGCGGCGTGACAAGGCAGGCTATATCTATGTGTTTGTGCATGTGGTGAGACAAGGTGGGAACGTTACTATGCGTGTGTGGTGAGACAAGGCAGACGTTTACTTTATTATTGCGCATGTGGCGAGACAAGGTAGGCTATGTCGGGGATTGATTTATGATGACTTGTGATGGCTCGGGGGCACTATTGTTGTTGATATTTGTGTAGTGACGTGCCTAACTTGTGTGAGTTTTACCTTGTGCAAATCGTGAGGAT